AATAAATTAAAATCTTAAAAAATAATTATAAGAAAAAAGAAAGAATTGTGGAGCTCTGTGAGTCAGGCAGCAGCCAGTGCTGAGAGAAGAGCCTGGGTGCGGGATGCTGGGAACCATGGCTTTTGTCTGCAGTCTGCACCAGAAGTGGCCCATGCTGGAAAAACCAAGCTTTTCAATGGGTCCCTCAGGCTCTGTGGGAAGCCAGGAAACTTTCGTAAGGGTCCTGGAAGGGCTGGGGGTTACAGGTCAAGGCTAAAAGTGTCTTGGTTGGCCCCAAATATTTGTGCAGAGTAGAGACAAGAAAATATTTTTCTCTTTTTTTGTGTTCAAGGGAGAGGGTGAAAAGTGATGGGGACACTCAGACCAGTGATGGGAACATTGTTGGGGGGAGGCCTGAGTCTAGGGACTGGAAGCCGCTCTCTGCCCCTTTTTTAGTTTTATTTCCCACTTAGTGCTTATCACAGCTGCTATTAGATACTTACCTGAATCATTGTTTATGCAATATCCCACTCCCTAGGTGAAATAAAAGCTCAGTAGGGGAAGAGACCTGACCTATATTGTTTTTCATCACTGTGACCTTGAACAAGGCACAGTGCCTTTGTGCCTCAGTTTCTCCATCTGTAAGATGAGGATAGTCTTACCAAAAAACATGCATCCAATCCCAAAAAAGGCAAGAAAAGAGAGAGAAAAGGAGCACAGAGCAGGTGAGTCAGAGAAAAAACACATAAGAAGTCAAATAGGTCCATAATTATATTAAATGTAAATGGGCCAAATGCCCCAGTTAAAAAGACAAAAGATGGGCAGACCAAATAAAAAAGCAAAACTCAATTCTGTGCTACTTACAGGAGACACATACAACGTAAAGATACAGAAAGGTAGAAGGTAAAGGTTGCAAAAGGATGGTGCATTTTAAAAATGAGGCTGGAGCACCCGGGTGGCTCAGTTAAGCATCTGCCTTCGGCTCAGGTCATGATCCTGGTGTCCTGGGATCAAGTTCTGCACTGGGCTCCTTTCTCAGCAGAAAGCCTGCTTCTCCCTCTCCCCCCTCTTGTGTTCCCTGTATCTCTATATTTCTGCCAAATAAATAAATAAAATCTTGGGGAAAGAAGAAAAATAAATAAATAAATAAATAACGAGCCAAGGGTCACCTGGGTGGCTCAAGTCAGTTGGGCATCTACCTTTGGCTCAGGTCGTGATCCTGGGAGTTCCTGGGATTGAGTCCTACATTGGGCTCCTTGCTCAGTGGGGAACCTGCTTCTCTCTCTCCCTGCTGCTCCCCCTGCTTGTGTGCTCTCTCTCTGACAAATATAGTCTTTTAAAAAATGAGCCAAGAAAAAACAATGAGCCAAAAGAGAACTGTGTGTCAACTTAATGTGAGACAAACTCCACTCCAAGGCAAGAAACACTGAAATAAAGAAGAGCACATCATAACAAATAAAAGTCGAGTTCACCAGGAAAACTATGACAATTGCAATACCATGTAGTCAATGACATGATCTCCAGATATCAGAGCATTTGTCTCCTAAGGCTCATACAACAACAATTAAATACATGTGAATGTGGTGTGCCTGAGTGGCTCAGTGGGATAAAGCCTCTGCCTTCGGCTCAGGTCATGATCTCAGGGTCCTGGGAATGAGCCCTGCATCGGGCTCTCTGCTCGGTAGGGAGCCTGCTTCTTCCTCTCTCTCTCTGCCTGCCTCTCTGCCTACTTGTGATCTTTGTCTGTCAAATGAATAAATAAAATCTTAAAAAAAAAATACATGTGAATGTTTGCCTTCACCTGTGAAGTCTGTCAGCCATTACTGTTAGTGTTGCAATAGTTGCTGTTATTAGTTTATATTTAATTTTGTTGTTTACTTATTAGTATCAGTGTTTATTACAATTCTTCCAGCCCTTATAATAGAGATGGGGCTGGATGGGTAAGAGATTCCACTATGCAGGTAAAAACACTGACTAGGTTGCCTGGTGGCTCAGTGGGTTAAAGCCTCTGCCTTTGGCTCGGGTCATGATCCCGGGGTCCTGGGATCGAGCCCTGCGTTGGGCTCTCTGCTCCGCAGGGAGCCTGCTTCCTACTCTCTCTCTGCCTGCCTCTCCACTTGTGATCTCTGTCTGTCAAATAAATAAATAAATAATCTTTACAAACAAACAAACAAAACCACTGAGGTTCAGAGATGGATAGGGAGTAGTCCAAGTCCCTCAGAACCAGCACTGGCCCAGGGTTTATTTGATGTTCTTTCCCAGGAAATTTCTCACATATCTTCACCACCCTAGCACCTCTTTCACTTGTTAGCTTGCCTGCTTTCCAACCACAATGATTTCCCTGAATTCCCCCACCTCCACTCCTTTTGTGCCAGTCACTGTGTAGGCCCCAGTGCTAAAACAATGACAAACAACAGACCCTTCCTAGACTATGGGGGTTTTCCAACCTAGGGGGGCAAGGCAGAGTTAAGTCAAATAATAGTACAGACATAAAATCAGTTATGAAGTGAAGGTTCATCATGCTAAGAGGGCTGCCAATCAGGCTTTGCCTTGGGGAGGTCTGGGAGAGCTTCCTGTAGGAGGTGACCTTGGAAGGAGCACCAATCTGACAAGTTAGTTACCTCTAAAGCCAGTTACCTCCTCTGGCGTTAGCTACCTCCAATAGCCAGTGACTCACTCATTCATTCATTCATTCATTCATTTATCCAACTCCCATACCATAGGTGCTAGGCATCAGTCAAGGATGCAGTGGGGACAAAACAGGCAAAATTCTTCCCAGGGTGGAGCAGAGTGGGATAAGAATGAAGGAGATCTGCAAATGGGTAACTCCTGGGAAGAAAACAAAATAGAACGAGGGAAGTGTTAAGTGTCCCCGCTCCTTTTCAAAACAAGATCCATAAAAACCCATCTAATCGAAGCTACCACCTTCTCCCGAGGCCATGGGTATCTTATCACCCTCTGGCAGAGGGTGCAGGGAGAAGAAACTCCTTCCAGCAGCCCTGCTTGCTCACTCCCTCACCTAACCATTAATTGCGTTTCTTCTCTGTGCAAAAGAAAAGCTTTCTCGGGGATTAGGCCACGCGAGGGTGGCGGAGGTTCTGCGTGCCCTTGGGTAATCGCTCCCCTGGAGACCTTGGGTCCACATCTGTAATTAGGGCTTAAGGGTGGGTCGTCCAGCAGTCCCAGAGCTGCACTGACAGTCACGTCTGAGCTTCTTAAGGCAACACCTTTTAGGGCTGTCCTCTCAACAGCCCCCACAAGGTGAGAGTGCGTGCATGGCAGTGTTTATCCCCATTTCGCAGATGAGCAAGATGAAGCTCAAACGGGAACGGTAAGTCCTGGTGGGCAGCGCGGCGCTAATTGGCGAAGAGACTCCTGAGACCCCTTCTCCCGCCTCCGCCCCCGCCCCCGCCCCCGCTCCGGGTGGCGCGGCAGCCTCTGCCCCTTTAAGAACGCCCCGCGGAAACAAGCAGGAAGGGGGTGGTGCTTGCTTCCGAGACGGATGTGCGCACAGACCAATGGATGCTACAGTCGCAGCAGCGGCGGCCAATGGGCGCGGCGGGGGCGGGGCCGGGCGCCCGAGCCTGGTTCCCGAGGCGCGGCGGCCGCGGCTGGGGGCGGGGAGGGGGGTGCAGGACCCCAGGCGGGGGTCCCGGAGCCGGAGGCACGTGTCCCGGGGCGCCGGCAGGGTTGCACCGGCTGGGGGCGCTGCCCAGGCCTGGGCTGGTCTGGGTGCCGGGGCGACGGGGGCTGGGGCCGATGGGCGGGGCCAAGGGCCGCGGGGGGAGGCGAGCCGGGGGGCGCGGAGGGTCGGAGTGCTAGAGGGGGCGCGGCAGAGCGCGGGCGGCTGGGGGTGGGAACCGAAGGGGACTGAGGGGAGTAGGTGGGGGCAGTGCTGGCAGAGAAGTGCAGGGCCCGGGGCCCCGAGGGGTGCGGGGGTCGGGGGCCCCAGACTGGTGGCGTCAAACAGGCATGAGGCGTTGGGGGCCTGGGTGGGAGGTTGACGGAGAGCCAGGCCCGGGTGGGGGTGTCGTCTGGAGGGTGTAGGGTATGATGCGATCCGTTGAGGGGCGTCTGGGGACATCAGGGTGTTTACGGGTCGACTGAGCGGCTGTGGGGAGAGCTGGCCCAGGCTGGGGGCGGTGGTTGGGGGAGGGGGGAGGGCGAGTTATACGGGCGCAGGGGATTGTGGGGGTGGGGGCTGGGAGGGTCTCAGAAAATGGGGCCGGGGCCCGGAAGGAGCAGGCAGGTGAGGGTTAGGGAGGAGATGCTGTGGGTTAGAATTAGAATGAAAACTAGGCTTTACCACCTCTGAGCTTGGGGCCTGGGGAAGAGGGGCAGTTGTTCATAGCCAGAAGAGGAGGCTGTAGAATCCCTTGGGGGTCTTGACCACCCCTGTAAAGGAGGCTACTTTGAGAGAGTGGTCAGGACCCTTGAGAGGAGGAAGGGCTCCCAGGGAAGGGTATGGGCTAGAGTCCTTGGCATTGGGGGAGTGGTATTAGATTCAGGGTATGGAAAGAAAAGGCTTGGGATTTCTAGTGGCAACCCTTAGGAGAAGGGGCAGCTGGAGGTGGGATTCCTGGTAAAGATTCAATTCCCTCTGGGCTCTAAAAACAGACTTCCTGAGACTTCAGTCACCCTAAAAAAAAATCCTAGCAACCCCCTCTGGGCGTTTAAAACCCCAGGTTCAAATTCTGTCCCTGCAGTTACCTTGCTCTGTGACCTTGGGCAAATCGCTTTGCCTCTCTGGGCCTCAAATCACTTTTCTGTAAAATAAGGGGGCAGAGGATGTTTCCTACTCTGGGTATTTGTAAAAACTAAAAAATAATCAGCTGTAAAACAGCTAACATTGAGACTGATTGATGGCTAGGGTTTGATGTGTAGGACAAACCTGGGTTGTTCTTTACCCACTGTACAGATGAGGAAATTAAGGCCGGGTGCCCCTAAGTCACACAGTGGGTGAATGGATGCAGAGGAGAATGTGAGGGTGGGATTCTTACCCCATCCATTCCCCCCACCAGGGCCAATTCCCGTCCCCCCAGCAGCATGGCTTCCTGTGCTGAGCCCTCTGCCTCGGGGCCTGAGCCCACTGCCCCACCGCCTGCTGGGGTCCCACCACTCGAGGACTTCGAGGTGCTGGATGGGGTGGAAGACGCAGAGGGCGAGGAGGAGGAGGAGGAGGAGGAGGAGGAGGAGGAGGAAGACCTGAGTGAGCTGCCACCACTTGAAGACGTGGGGCGGCCTCCACTGGAGGAGGCCGAGCAGCCTGGGGCCCTGGCCCGAGAGTTCCTGGCCACCATGGAGCCTGAGCCCGAGCCCGCCCCAGCCCCGGATGAGTGGCTGGACATCCTGGGTAAGGAGCAGGGGTGGCTTGGGTTGACCCACACGGCCTGGACAGTTCAGGTTCAGGAATGACCTTGGCCTAGGCCATCTTCTCCCCTGAGCCTCATTTCCCCCTCTCTGCTGTGCAGTAGTTTGGAAGTCAAACATGTAACCACGGTGATCGCTTGCCACAGGCAACTGGTTGAGACACTTCATATCTAAGAACCCCTTTCATTGTCACATGCACACATGCACGTCGTGTTCTAGCCCTGTTTCTCAGAGCTGCTAAGAGCAGCTCAGAGAGGCTGAGTCACCTGCCCAGGGCCACACAGCCAGTACTCCAGGTGCTGGCAGCTCCCAGCCCCCACTGCTTCCTTTTTTGGCATTTGTCTGACAAGTGCCTCTTCCCTGAAAATGTGTCCAGGGGTCAAATAGATCTGGAAAACATCTCATTTTGTTCAATCCTCTGTCTGATTCATAGCATGCATTAGCATTGCAACTGCTCAGAGAAGGCCTGCAACAAAGAAACTGGGGGATCCCACACACATGCCCCATCATGTACCCCATGATAGTGACCCTGGAGACTAGAGAGAAATACTGCTGCTGGTACTGATACTTTGTATATTAAATAACATTAGTGTCCCCTAATAATGATGGTAGTGAAACATCATTAATAAGATCACAAATACTGATATTAAAGCAATAGTGTCAAGTAATCCTGATTTGATAATGCAGATTTGTTACTGTTATCATTTCTACTGCTGATAGAAATGCCACTTGTAAAAATAACACCAGGTTGGGGTGCCTGGGTGGCTCAGTCAGTTAAGCATCTGTCTTCGGCTCAGGTCATGATCTCAGGGTCCAGGGATCGAGTTCCCACATTCCCACATCATGCTCTCTGCTTGGAGGGGAGGTTGCTGCTCCCTCTTTGCCTGCCCCTACCCCAGCTCATGCTGTCTCTCGTTCTTGCTCGGTCTCAAATAAATAAATAATAACATTACAAAAAATAAAAATAACACCAGTTAATATTTGCTGGGTCTGTGCCAGGCCCACACATCATTTTTTAGCCTTACAACAACCCTAAAATGTAATTCTTACCAAATCCCCATTTTTTTTTTTAAGATTTTATTTATTTATTTGAGAGAGAGCGCACGTGCATGCACGAGAAGGGAGAGGGTCAGATGGAGAAGTAGATGTGGGACTCGATTCTGGGACTCCGGGATCATGACCCAAACCCAAGCCAGACGCTTAACCAAATCAGCCACCCAGGCGTCCCACCATCTCCCCGTCTTACAGATGAGGGAACTGAGGCTCAGTGAATGGAGGTGCTTGCCCAGCAGACAGCCTCCTAGGCTGTATTAAAATTTGGGAAGCTCTTCTTTGCTGATATTAAGAGCTGCTCTGCTTTCCCTCTGAGCACGAACCTGACTGCCCATTAATGTTTGAGCCAGCTGCTTTCTGAGGTGAGAATTTGGGCTTCTGTCCAAGGAAACTGAGGCCTTGAGAGGGTACATGATTTGCCCAGAGTCTACTGAGATAAGAGGAGAGGCTAGTGCCTGCTTATAACCCGACCAGCACATCCACCATTCGTGCCCAGATACTTAGAGACACAGGGATTCCTAGGGAGCCACTAGATGAGTTCTGAAACTGGATGTGGAGTATGGACAAGTTGGGGAACAGTACAGAAATTTGGGACATTCTAGAATATTCCAGAATATTAACAGCTATTTCCCTGTCCCTCACCTTTAGTCAAAGGTCCATTCAGAGTTACAGTATATCCCAAACTGGTGGAATATTATAGAATCCAGGTAAATGCTGGGAATATGGATGACTGCAGGTATTAGTCTGATGGGCCTCACAGGTGTAAGCCCTCAGTTGCCTCAGTGGTGGTCGTGGGATGACAGTGGCTTTCTTTGTTGTGCGGGTTCCGTGAGTGGATGCGTGAGGGTGCTGGGCCTCACGGCTGCTCAGTAACTGTTCGCCATGGCCATTTGGCCATTCCTGTGATTGCTTGGGGCTTGGAGGAAAACATGGACTGTGGGCCCATCAGGGACACTGTTGCTTATAGACCCTCTGGCTGCTTAACTTTGAATTGTAGTGATGTGCTTCTTTGGTAGAGACACAATCCTGGTGTCACAGAGACTCTGATAACCAAGCAGACTGCTCACTGGGTATCACCAGGGGTCTCCCTGATGTCCCCATTTCATGGCTAGGTAAATGGAGGCCCAGTGTTGAAGGGCTGGATGGGAACCAGGAGGGGGAGTGGAGGGTGGCTCCAGAGTCTATCCTGGACATCCCTGCCAGCCTGATTCTGCTTGGCAGGATGACTTTTCTCAGCTCTTTGTCTGGGCCAAGACTTAATTTTCTTTTCTTTTTTTAAAGATTTATTTATTTAATTGTCAGAGAAGGGGTGTATGTGCACACAAGCAGGGGAGTGATAGGCAGAGGGAGAAGCAGGCTCCCCACTGAGCAAGGAGCCCGATATGGTACTCGATCCTAAGACCCCAGGATCATGACCTGAGCCGAAGGCAGACGCTTAACCAACTGAGCCACCCAGGCATCCCAGATCTAAATTTTCTTAAGATAATGGTCAGACGGGCCATAATTGTCACCCCTTAGATTGATCCTTTCATGCTTAGTGTCCAGCCAGGGACAGTCCCAGGGGCATGGGATCACCTACCCAGTAAGTGGCAGAGCAGCTCTTTGAGGCTCAGCTGGGTGCTGGGAGAGGGGTTCTGGGGGAGCAAGCACCCATCTGACCTGCGCGGTGATAGGCTGCTCGTCCCCGGTCCCTGGCAGGGAACGGGCTGTTACGGAAGAAGACGCTGGTCCCAGGCCCAACTGGCTCGAGCCGCCCAGCTAAAGGCCAGGTAGTCACTGTACAGCTGCAGACCTCGCTGGAGAACGGCACTCGGGTGCAGGAAGAGCCAGAGCTGGTGTTCACCCTGGGCGACTGTGACGTCATCCAGGTGGGAGGGCGTGAGGGCCCTGGCATCTGGTCTGGAGCTGAGTGGAGGAGGCCTGTGGGGACTAAGGGGAGGTGGTGGCCGCTGGGGGGCAGGGTGGTGGTGGGGTCGGAGTGGGCGTGGCATTGCTACTGTGTACCTGAGCCTGCCTGACCCTCTTGCCCCCGCAAACCCAGGCCCTGGATCTCAGCGTTCCACTCATGGATGTGGGGGAGACAGCTATGGTCACTGCTGATTCCAAGTACTGCTATGGCCCCCAGGGCAGGTGAGAACCTGTTACCAGCAGGGTCCCAATGGGGGACCCCTTTGCCCACCAAATTGATAGCAGAAGAAACAGACTTAGGGAGGGGAAGTCACTCACCAAGTCAGGAAGCCCATGGGTGGCAAGTTACTTCCCTTTCATTTCACTGAGGAGGGGGTGATGGTGGAGCCAGCTCCCAAGTCTTGAGCCCTCGCCCTTTCCCCCCTGCTCCCTAGCCAACCCAGTGTGTCTGGGGTTTGCTCATGGTGGCCGCTGGGTCTGAGTGCTGCTCTTGCCCCATCCCCCAGCAGGAGCCCGTATATCCCCCCACACGCGGCCCTGTGCCTGGAGGTGACCCTGAAGACTGCCGTAGATGGGCCTGACCTGGAGATGCTCACAGGCCAGGAGCGTGTGGCTCTGGCCAACCGGAAGCGGGAGTGTGGCAATGCCCACTACCAGCGGGCCGACTTCGTGTTGGCTGCCAATTCCTACGACCTCGCCATCAAGGCCATCACCTCTAGCGCCAAAGGTGAGTGCCAAGTCAAATCCTGTCGCCCACCCTGCGAAGCCATCCACTCATGCCAGAAGCATCCAGCCACAGAAGGACTCAGACTCAGAATGATCTAGAATATTCCAGAATGTGGACAGATGTTCAACTCTTCCTGACCCTTAGACTAGAGTCCACTGTAGACTTATGGTATGTCCTCAATCAACAGAATAGTACAGAACGCAGGTAGATGTTGGAATGTGAGTGACCATGGACCATGTCAATCCACATGCCCTGTGGTTAGGTCCTCGCATTGCTTAGGCTCGATCTTACTCCTTAGGAGCGCCCTGAGGATGGGCTGGTCTTGGCCCGTGTTAGAAAAAGGGAAACTGAGACCAGAGAGGCTTGAGGTCCTCCAAGGAATAGATGGTGGAGGCCCCGCCCCTGGGAATTCAGAGCCCCTCTCCCCAGTCTCTTGGGACTGGGGTACTCCGAGGCCCTCCCCACTCAGTCCCCTCTGCCACCAGGTCCAGAGGGAGCGGGCCTTGACCTGGGTCACAGTGTGTGGGGCGCCTTTCCCTGGGGTCAGAGGTGGCCAGCCCGCCACAGATGGGCGGCTATGGGGGGCTGGCGGTGCGGTAACCAAGGCCACGGTTGAACACCAACATCCCCCTGCCCCCCCGCTGCAGTGGACATGACATTCGAGGAGGAGGAGCAGCTCCTGCAGCTGAAGGTGAAATGTCTGAACAACCTGGCAGCATCACAGCTGAAGCTGGACCACTACCGAGCCGCACTACGCTCCTGCAGCCTCGTGCTGGAGCACCAGCCCGACAACATCAAGGCTCTCTTCCGCAAGGGCAAGGTGAGCTGCGGGCTGGTGGACCTGCTGATTCCCCCACACCCAGAGCAGTGGGGCTGATTCCAAACGCTGGATTTGAGACGAGCACGGGCATCAGCCAGCCAAGCCCTCTGGGATACAGGTGGGGAAACTGAGTCCCAGACAGGTGGTGAGGTGTGGTCTGGATCATAGCAATTCGTTGACAAGCCAGACTTGAACCGTAGGTCTTAGGTTCCCTCCTAACTGCTGACACTGCCCTGCGGCCCTTTGGTGACTGCTCTTTGTATATAATCCTCCATGGTTCACACGTCTCAGAGTAAAAAGCCAAGTCCTCATTGCAGCCCTTGGGGCTCTGGGTCATCGGGTCCTCCCACCATCCCCTTCCATCTCTCCTCTTCCTTCTCTCCATCCTGCTCAGCTTCCTCACTGCTTGCTGCCCAGGCTGGGGTTACTCCCACCCTAGTGACTTTGCACAGGCTCTGCCCTCTGCCTGAGCTGTTCACACCCCAGATCGCCCCATGGCTCCCCCTTTCACCTCCTTCAGGTCTTTGCTCCTATGTCACCTCCTCAGGAAGCTCTCCCCCGCCACACCCACCTGACCCCCTGCCCTGTCTTTATGTTCACCATGGTGCTGTTAGCAGAGGCAGGTGTCATTGTGGCTGTTAGGTCCCTTATTAGAAGCTGGAGATTTGTCCGTTTCACTCACTGGTAAATCTCTAGCCATGCAAACAGGGCCAGGTACACAGTGGGTGCCCAGTAAATGCTGTGGAATGTAGGGATGAATTTGGCCTGTGTAGACTTGACCGTAATTGCTTTTGTCCCCATCTGCTATTCATCTCCACGTGTGTGTGTTTGGTGTGGGGGGGGGGTTGGTGGGGGCGGAGTTCAGCGCCTTTAGCAGTACTGAGGAAATTGAGACACGAGGAAATGATGGGTCAGCTAGCCTGTCGATGAGAGGCATGAGCAGGGCTTCCCTCCAACAGGCATTTTTAAACTACTTGTGTGTAGGGTTCTGTGTAGAAACGTGGGACGAAGATGCTATCTCTATTTTCTCAGGGATCTGATGTTCTTGGGGGCAGTGGAATTGTCTGCTCCTATAGCCTCACATTTGTATCTGCTGGTTGTAGGCGACACAAACCCATCCTAACAGATTCAGACAAGAGGAGGAATTAATAACTTATGGAATTGCCAAGTATAGGGGGTTGGCTTCAGGCATGGCTGGATCCAGGCATTAGCAATGTTGTTGGGATGCTGTGCCTGTCTGCTGTGGGTTTTCCCCTCAGGGTGACCAAGGTGCTTCTACCTGCTCACTCAGAAAGTTCAAGGCTTCCATGTCTGTCCGTGACACCTGCATGGTTCAGGTGGGCCTCATTGGCTGGCTCTGAATCATTCACTGTAGTCAAAGCTTTGGAAATGCTCATTTGGCTTCTTGAGCCACCTAGGGTGGCAAGGGAGGAGGTGAGGCCAGCACCCAGGTTTCCTGCAAAGGCTGAGACAGACATGCAGAGGAGGGAGCAGATTGGGACGACATTGAGCCCAGTGGGGGGCTTATGTCGTCTGAGGGCTCAGGGACGGTATAAGGGTGGCTGGGTCCCTGGGGTGATTGTGGGTGATAGATTTGGGACTAGTCAGGGTGATCAGGAGCCTAGCAGGGCTGGGCCTTTTTTTTTTTTTTTTTAAGATTTTTATTTATTCATATGACAGAGATCACAAGTAGGCAGAGAAGCAGGCAGAGAGAAAGAGAGGAGGAAGCAGGCTCCCTGCTGAGTAGAGAGCCCGAGGCGTGGCTCAATCCCTGGACCCTGGGATCATGACCTGAGCCGAAGGCAGAGGCTCCAACCCACTGAGCCACCCAGGTGCCCCAAGGGCTGGGCCTTTTGAAGAAGATCATGGTGCACTGTCGTTCTAGAATGACGCTATCCATTTCCTTCCACAGGTGCTGGCCCAGCAAGGGGAGTACAGTGAGGCCATCCCCATTCTGAGGGCAGCCCTGAAGCTGGAACCTTCCAACAAGGTGAGCAGAAAGGAGGCAGCCTTGGGACCTACCCTGCTAACTTGTCTGGGAAGTCATCCTGTGGTCTTTGCCTTGTCCTGCTTGCTGTGGCTCTCCTGGGGTTCTAGCCTGGGCAGTGACGGCGAGGGGCTGGGTGACTGAAGAGCCCCAGCCAGCTTGCTGAGACCCTTATGACCCCTGCATAGATGGTCTGAACTCACCCCTCCCCAGCCAGAATCCCAGAGGCCAAGGGTGCTACCAACATGGCCAGTGTCAGGGTCCTCAGGTTTTCTACCAAAATCTTCCTTTCTCCTGGCCACCTTGTACTCTTCCCCATCCACTGGTTGCCTAGGGGGATAGAGATGGCAGCCCCTACTTTGCTGATGCCCCGAGAGGAGCAGATGGAACTTTCGTGTCCCAGTGGTTCTCGCCCCAAAGTGACCAGGGTTCCCCAGAAAGGCGGAACATCGGAGACGATGGTCAGGTTGGCTGCTACCACTGCATGTTCTTAGCCCAACTGACACCCACCTTTTGCAGACGATCCATGCAGAGCTTTCAAAACTGGTGAAGAAGCACGCGGCCCAGAGGAGCACAGAGACCGCCCTGTACCGGAAAATGCTGGGGAACCCCAGCCGGCTGCCTGCCAAGTGTCCTGGCAAGGGTGCCTGGGTGAGCGGGGGCTGGCAGGCGCAGGGATGTTCCCAGAGGAGGGGCAGGGGTTAAGGGTGGGGCATGCTACCCAGAAGGAGTTTCTTCATTTTGCAAACGTTGATGTCAACTGGGCTATGTTGGACGATGTTGGGAACACAGAGAAGCCTCAGCCCTGTGCAGTCAGGGTTAGAGCAGAAGATGGAAGAAGACTTGGAGGGCTCAGGGCGGGGAGTGATAGCTCTTCCAGAGGGGAAGGGGAGGTGTTCTAGAGCAGGGGACACTTGGCTTGAGTTTTGATGTATGAGTAGGGGTTTGCCAGAAGGTGGGAAAGGCGTTGTCAGGCAGTGGTTTGCTGGGAGGCCTCTTTGGGCCATGTTGGTAGCTGAAGCCTGGGGAATCAATCTTGACCACTCTCCAGCCTTCTCTTCCCTTCCATTTATCCACAGTCCATCCCCTGGAAGTGGCTGTTTGGGGCGACTGCTGTTGCCCTCGGGGGCGTGGCTCTCTCCGTGGTCATCGCTGCCAGGAACTGACCACCCAGGTGGCCACCACCCCCTTGCACACCACGGACCCCACCCCGCGCTCCCTAACTTCCCCAGGCTCCCTGTCCACTGCCCTGTCTGATCCAGCCCCCTCCTCTGGGGCAGGAACAGTGAGGTGTGGGGGCCACATGGCCCCAGTGAGACAGGAGGGACTATGGCCCTATAGGAGGAAAGTGAGGCAGGGCCCGGGCTTCAAGTCCAGCCCAGAGGGAGGGGACCCTCATTCCTCCAGACCCAATTCCCATCCCCACCCCCATCCCCTTGGGTTAGGTCTCAACAGAGGCCAGCCTCAGTTTCTCTTTCCCAACAGGCCTGGGGGCAGCCCTTCCCCAACCCAGTCCCTGTCCAAGCGTCAATCCCCACCCACACCGCCTGCTGCCCTCTGTCCAGGTTCTCCCTCCCACTCCTCCAGTGAAATAAAGCCTCCTACCCCGCACTCTGCTGCCTCTAGTCCCTTCTTCCGCTGTCACTTAGGGCTGGGCCAGAGATAACCCGTGTCACATCCAGGGTCATGTGGGACTAAAGCGGGGGTGGGGGCATCTCCTCTTAGGCCTCGGCAGATCTGCTTTACAAAGGGGGCAGCAGAGACCTAGAGAAGTGGGGCGATGCATTCAGGGTACCCAGCCGGCCTCTGCAGGAGTTTACCCCCAGTTAAACTCCACTTCTCTCGTCTCTGTTGCCTCATCTGAAAATGGGGATCCTGACAGGATCTAACTGGGGACAGTGCTGAGACCTGAGCAACCATAGGGGGCTGGCTGTGCGGCAAGCAGACAGCCCCATGCCTGGGTAACAGAATAGCCAGTGCAAAGGCCCTGGAACAGGATTGAGCCCAGCGCGTTCAAGGTTAAGGAGAGTGTGTGGTCAGCAGTTCCTCTTGATCTCGTTTAGTTTCCCCCCAACCTGGGGCTGTAGGAGCTTCTCCCTTAAATGCTGCCTACCATCACAGCCAGAGCGGGTGGTCAGGCCTCTGTCAAGACAGCACCTGTGACCCTTCTCACGGCTTCATCCTGCCTCTGGGAGAGGAGATCTCCAGGAATAGACCACCACCACAAGGACTGTGCTGCACCTGTCCCCTAACAGCCGCAGTAGGGAAAGCCACCGGTCATCGCCACCCAGCAAAAGGTAGCAGTTAGGCCTTGAGCTTGCCTACTCTGGGGTCCTGGTCTGTGAGCCATCTGGATAACTCTCTGGGCACAGATCTGTGGGTGGCTTGAACCTGCTACCCTTTCCAGCATTCAGCTGCTTTAGGCTTAGACACAGCAGGGGGGCTCTGTGGGTGGCACTGTGGGAGGGGCTGTGGGTCGGCCACACTTGGCAGGGCTAGAGTCCTAGGTAGGACACCCCCTCTTTCCTCAGTCTTGCTGACCTCAGGCTGGGGAGCTGGCCTGAGTGGTGACCAGCGTGATGGTGGGCTGGGAGGGTGACTTCCTGGCCTGGGTTGTGAGGGTCACAGCTGCTGTCGTTCCCAAGCGCATTAGTGTGGTGGCATTAGTCTACCAGGGACACACGGTGGCTTCATTCTGTGCCCATTGTTTGCATATTTTGGAGACAAGTCCTTTCTCAGGTAGATATATTATGAATATTTTTTCCCATTCTGGGGCTCACTTTTCATTTTCTTAGAGCAGACATTTTAATTTTTAGCAAGTTCAGTTTATGTTTTTGTCAACATTTGCTAACCAGGTTTGTAGGGATTTTCAAGGTGTTCTTTTATTTTTTTATTTTTTATTTTTATTATATAAGGATTTTATTTATATTTTTGACAGAGAGAGAGCGAGAGCAGGAACACAAGCAGGGGGAGTGGGAGAGGGAAAAGTGGGCTTCCCAACAAGCAGGGAGCCCAATGCAGGGCTCGATCCCAGAACCCTGGGATCATGACCTGACCCAAAGGCAGACGCTTAACGACTGAGCCATCCAGGCGCCCCTAGGTTTTCTTTTAAATGGTATGGCTTCAGCTTTTCTATGGAGATCCACGATTCACTTTCGTGTGAGGTTGGAGTTGAGGTTCATTTTCCAGGTAGCCTATCCAGTTGTTCTAGAAACAACTGTGGGGAAGACTTTCTTTTTTCTAGCAAGTTATTCTGGCAGCCTTATTAAAAATCAGCTGATCACGCATGTGTGAGTCTTCTGGCCTCTGCTCCATGCTCAGGATCTCTCTGTCCTCAGGTTTTCTGTGTCCTCTTTGTGGGTCCCACGCTAGGTTCCATGCTGTGCTGAAGGCTGTAGCTTTCTAGTAATGCTGGAGTCAGGCTTTGCTCCAAGGTTCTTTTGGTTGTGCCCATTATTAGTTAAGCACACGGAGGCCCAGAAAGGAGTCAGCTCCCAACCAAGGTCCCATCACCTGGGCACAATGGGCAAGATTAGCCCCAGGTCAACCTCCCTTCAGAGCCCATGCTGTGCCCACCAGGCAGGTCTACACCTCCCTGCAAGTTAGAGCCAGGAAACAAGAGAGGCTTTGAAGGCCATGACCAGGAGTGTGAACTTCAGTATGTTCCTTCCCTTGGTCTTTCCATCCTCTGGTCTGAATGGGAGAGGGGACAGGGTGTCCAGGACAAGGGGCACTGATGTTTCCTTGAAGGCACAGGAGTACTTTGGCAGGTGTGAAGCATGCTCCCAGGACTGGCATGGCCTGTGCAAGAGGTGGGCTGGCCGGGCAGTACATGACACATTCGGAGGACAGCTAGGATGGATTTTTATTTCGTATGAAAACATGTACCAATGCCTCCTGTATACTTGGTCTTAGGCAATGACTCAACCTGGCCTTGCCCTTGAGGGGTACAGCTTACAGTGGGCTATGAATTGGAAGTGAGCAAGACAGAATGAGCTGTGTGTGTGTGTGTGTGTGTGTGTGTGTGTGTGTTTGAGTGAGGGAGGGAGGGCATTCATATCTGAGCACTGGACATCCTTTGCATGCCTCCATGTCAAGTCATTGTTAAAACCTCCTGGGTCACCCAGTGTGGGACCATCGGGGAGCCTCCCTCATCGGGCAGAGGACAGAAAAGAGTGATCATGAATGCTTGTGGGCAGACGGGTGGGTGGAAGAAAATTACCATGGAATCATCAGTCACCAGGGCTGATGGAGATGTTTTAACCGACACTGAAATGTTCCCAGGAGGTCTAGCAAGCACACGGGCCATCTTTGAGGGAGAGCCTGCACGGCTGTCCCTACAAACTGTTCCCACGGAATGCTAGGCCTTACCTTCTTCATGGGTCCCAGGGAGGAAAATTCAGCTGATTCACGAAGCAAAATGGAGGTTTGGGGGCACTTGAAGGCCCTACTGATGTAGGTCAGTAAAAAAAAATAACTAAGCAGGCTTAGCTTATCCAAACCTGCACGTTCTCAAGAAAGGACTGGCCCTCGGTCAGCTCCTGGCAGGTCACATTCTAAGTTCTTGGGATGTTCTGGCTGAGAGTCTATGCTAACAATATAAGTTAGGGTGGGGCCTTTGGTCCCATGGTTTCAGCTTGACCTGTGGAGTGGCTGGAGACTGAGTTCAAGCACGTGGGTGGTCAGCACTCCTTCCCAGTAAAAACCCTGGACAAGGCTCAGGTGAGCTTCCTTGGTTGGCAGTACTCTGTGCATGTTGTCACAAAGATTTCTGGGAGAATTAAGGGGTCCGCACCTGGATGCTTGCCTGGTTTCTCCTGGTCTCTGCCTCATGCACTTTTATCCTTTCACTGTGATCAACCATGGCCACGAATATCACAGCTAGACTTGCTGGTTCTGAGATGCCCAGCTGAGCGAGCAGCAGAACAGACATGGGACCCGGGGGCTGCTTGCTGGCTGCCCGCCATGCGGAGGGACTGGCTCCAAAGTGAGTGCTTTCAGGACACCTGGGTGGCTCAGTGGGATAACCCTCTGCCTTCAGCTCAGGTCATGATCTTGGGGTCCTGGGATCGAGCCCCGCATTGGGCTCTCTGCTCAGCGGGGAGCCTGCATCCCCATCTCTCTTTCTGCCTGCCTCTCTGCCTACTTGTGATCTTTGTCAAATAAATAAAATATTAAAACAACAACAACAAAAAACCAAAGTGAGTGCTCTCATGGAGCCTTGCATTCCCTCTGCTACAAAACAATATGGTTCAACATCTCTAAGGCTCATTGGCTGGCTGAGCAGTTGAGCGGGTAGGAGGCTGGCTCTGAGGGCTGTGGGCTGCAGAAATTTTAAGGGGCTCCTGAGATTTCTTCCGTGTATCATCCCAGGACTGGAAGTGGGCAGGATCTCACTCCTGTGATTACGTTGTTATTGGGCACAGTTGACTTTAAGATACGGAGATAATCTGGGTGGGCCTGACCTCATGGGTTGCAGATGACGAAGCCAGAGAAACTTGAACTATGAGAGGGATTCAACATTCAAAATTCTCCCTCTCAAGAGGGGCAGACTCTCTGTTACTGAGGTGGAGGGGGCCACGTGGCTAGCACCTGAGAGTGGCCCCCAGCCAACAGCAAGGAAATGGGGACCAGAGTCCTACAACCACCAGGAAATGAGTTCTGCCCACAACCTGAAGAAGCTTGGACATTGAGCCTTGGGACGAGGATGTAGCCAGTCAACCCCTTGCTTGCAGCTTCATGAGACCTCGAGCAGAGGACCAGTTAAGACATACCAGACTTCTGACTCACGGAAACTGCGAGATAATAAACATATATTGTTTTATTTATTTATTTATTTAAAGATTTTATTTATTTATTTGACAGAAAGAGATCACAAGTAGGCAGAGAGGCAGGCAGAGAGAGAGAGGAGGAAGCAGGCTCCCTGCTGAGCAGAGAGCCTGATGTGGGGCTCGATCCCAGGACCCTGGGATCATGACCTGAGCCGAAGGCAGAGGCTTTAACCCACTGAGCCACCCAGGCGCCCCTAAACATATATTGTTTTAGGCCTAAGTGTGAAGTGCTTCGTTATGCAGCAATAGCTAGCTAACATGTGTATTGACAGCAGCTATGTTAGCAACTGCTGACTAACAAAGAGTGGGTATTCATCTCAGTGTGGTTGAAAAACACATAAATAAACTGCAAGCGACATAAATAGATGATAGAAAGGGATTAGATAGATAAATTCTCAAAAACTCATTAATAATAATGATTTCCGGGGCATCTGGGTGCCTCAGTCGTTAAGCATCTGCTTTCAGCTCAGGTCATGATCCCAGGGTTCTGGGATCGAGCCCTGCATTGGGCTCCTCGCTTGTCGGGAGGCCTGCTTCTCCCTCTCCCACTCCCCCTGTTTGTGTTCCTGCTCTTGATGTCTCTTTCTCTGTCAAATAAGTACATAAAATCTTATACAAACAAATAACGATTTCCATGATGATGCCATTTGCCATTTGCTGTGCTTATCCATATTTTATGATGTGGGCACACCAAGGAGGTCAAGACACGTCCCAAGCCATATAGGGAATGAGGAGCCGATGAGGGTCATAGAGTTAGAACTTCTGCAATGAGCTTGGCAG